TACGCCTGTTAGCTACGGGCTGCAACCACGGACACGGACAATTTCTGTGGGTTAGTTGGCCTCCTACAGAAGAAAATTTTCTATAGAAAGTTAAATCACTCACCTGTAATTGATGTTTTACCTTAAAAAAAAAAGTGTTGCTTGCTATGCTGAGTAACCAGAATAGGAATTGTTTAGCTTAATATACCTGATCCTAACCTCTAGATTTACAACCTCAGCTAGCAATTTGTCATCTGCTAGCTTTAAATGTCAAAGACTTTACAGAGTCCTCAAAAGACAGCTGAACCTCAGAGATTTAGACTATCACATGAGTGTAACTGCTGCATTTTCAGGCCTTCCATCTCTGCTACTGGTTCTACTCAACCTCCACAGCATCTCTTATCCTGGTGCCAGGTCTGATCCTCTTCTCCAGGTTTTGGAGTGCAGGTAAAATCCTTGTTCATTTAGCACGTATTTGATAAACAGAACTACTTATTTAGGACTGCGTACAGAAATGTTGGACTTAACTTTCTCAGATTTGGATCATGCTCTAATTTGAGATAGCAAGTTCCTACATCTTGATGTGAAAAGTTTCCATTATGGCTTTAATAGTCCAAGCCTCAAAAGACAACTTTAGTCTTCCAGGTGGGTATAAGCTCTTATTTGTGCATCTAGACCAGACTACCTGTGTATTTGGTGCCCTAGTGAAAGATGAATATGTTAAATAACAGATTTAGACAGAAAGCTTGTACTCTGTAGCAGCACGCAATGTAAACAGATATTTAAAATTATTAGGATTTCTCTTCCTGAACTATCTTCTAGAGAGCTGGGAGGAAAGCTCAGAGTTCCTTCAAAGACTTTTTTGATGAAATTATCCTGCTAGATGAAACTATAAAATACCATCAGTAGTGAGAGAAAAGCCAGAGATCAGGGGATGAGCCAGCCTTCCAAATGACTTTCATCAAAAAGCTAAGAGACTAATATTAATACATTTTACTTGTTTCCTTCCAGGCCACAAATGCTGACAAATACTGTTACTTCGTTTGCACATGTTCCAAATGAATGCAGAAACACAGGGGACCTTGCAAAAAAATACTTTATTTCCCTATGCTACAGGGCATTTTCTCCCTAAACTATGAATTATAGATTTATAAGTAAATTTCTGAAGCTGCACATACAATCTTTAAATATGATACTCTGTCCTTAACAGATCATAAAATTGGTAATCCAATGTATTATATATTATATGCATTAAGTAGCTATAAAACCAGCACAGGTTAAGACTGTAAATATTTACAGTTATTATCTTGATTTGTAAAACTTGCAGTGGGTAGAT